ATACTTCAGCTAGCTAACCCAAGAGGGAATGAATCCTAAGAATATTTCTGACCTTATGGTACCATGACTTAAACACTCCTAGAATAGCAATGACTTAATAGCACTGAAGACTTGCAGGATCTGACACAGGGGAATATGAGTTCACATTGCTGAGGCAGAAATACTCTCTTTGGTCAAGGTTTTGTTTTGTTTTTGCTCCTTACATAGCCTGGTTGGTAAAACTCAGGCAGTAACAGGCTTCAGGAAATAATCTATTGCAGCAGAAATCTCTGGCTGAGGAATGCCTAACCTGTAATCATTGTTAAAAAATCATGATCTGCAATAAAATGTCACAAAAGAGTGTTTCTGCTTAAATTTCCAATTAGATTGTGAGGTCTTTCTGTACTCCATTCTACTCCCACCAGCATCCTGACACCCCCTGCCCCACATCCTAAAATGGCACTTATCTGTGGAAGATTCCCTCACCCTTACTTTAAAGTTTTAAATACATACAATAAAGGTTAAGTGCAACATACACTCATAAATAAAGAATAAAACGCCCTAAGAAACAGCAATAAAACAAAATGCAATTGGCCCTCTATTCATAGATTCTGCATCCATGGGTTCCACCATCCACGTTTTGAAAATATTTCTCCAGAAAAGGAACTCGAAAAAGCAAACCTTGATTTTGCTCTTTTATGTAAAGTGTGCCATTTTATATAACGGGACTTGGGCACCCGTGGATTTAGATATCCATAGGTGGAGGGTGTGTGTATCATGGAACCACATCCCAGTGGAAACCAAAGGCTTACCATATATAAAAATAAAACACAGGACAAGCACAAATGAATAAAGAGCTGGAAATCTGTAAACTAAACTACTAGTATAAAGATGCTATTGAAGGGAAAGACCCAACAATAGCCCCCCCTCCTTTTTTTGTCGTGTCAGGAGCGACTTGAGAAACTGCAACTCGCTTCTGGTGTGAGAGAATTGGCCGTCTGCAAGGACGTTGCCCAGGGGACGCCCGGATGATTTGATGCAATAGCCCTTGATCCTGCTGTGATCCTGCCGTGATCTTGGGTCTTAGCTATGCAAGGATCTCCAGGCACTCCTGTCAGTCAGCTGACACAGAAGTCAAACTAGGGGACAGAATTATCCATTACTTCCACTCTCTTCCATTCTATCTGCCAGTAAAATAATAATTTTTAAAATTACGCAGCTATAGAGCTATGGGAGGGTAGTATTCCCTACCCAGCAGGACTAACCAAGTAGTGAAGCATCTCAATTGCAGAACAACAGAAGGTTTTTTATAATAAGCCTTTCACGTGTTCATCTTCCATTTTACCAGTCTCATGTTGTATGTAGAGTGGAACCTCAGTTTAAGAGTATGCCAACTTATGAGCATTTTGACTTAAGAGCTGTCACTTAACTTGGTTTTGCTTTGACATAAGTGGCATTTTGAGTTAAGAGCCAGTGCCAGAGGGAGTGCTAGTGTGCGAGTTGAGGGCTTTAGAGCTTCAAGAGAGCAGCCTCCGTGCCTCGTGCTCTTGTCCACTTTGGGAGATTACTATCTGTTTTCTCTTGTCCGCTTTGAGTAACTTTGGGTTAGTTGATTTTGTGTTGTTTTTGTTCTTGGTATGTTTGGCTTCATGAAGGGAGAGAGAGGGGAGAGTGGCTGGAATGAGTAGTAGGAAGAAAATGTGCTTCGACCTCATCACTTTGTGCTTTGCACTTCTACCATTGTTCCACGTGCTTCTACCATTTTAAAGTTGATCTTTCTTTTTTTATTGTTTCATGTGAATGTTCAGAAGTAATAGCTTTTCAGTGGGAAAACTGCTTTGAGATAAGAGTGTTTTGACTTAAAAGCTCAGTCACTGAAAGAATTAAACTCTTATGTCAGGGCATCACTGTACTTGCAATTTACACATTTTGTATGTAGTTACTATTTAGGCTATTTAAAATCTTTCAAATGATTGCAAGTAGAGAAACCGTTGAAAACTATATTCACCTGCCAATTGCTGCTTGTTTGTTTTAATTATATACTCTCTTTGGTGGCTTTCTCACAGGTCTTGGTATCTTAACCATTTCTCTTTGCCTTCCTTTCTATAGAATGTTTTTAGTTCCCAAATGATTTTTTTTGTTTTTGAGTATTTCCAGACCATGAAATACCCTAAATAAATAAATAAATAAAGAGGAAGGGGGAGAAATGTAGCAGCATCTGAGGTTTACTAGAATGTAAAACCTTGGACAAAAAAGAGAGGGTTAGCTAACAGATTCCCACAGCGTTACATGTGTATCCCTCCACCTTTCCCCTTGGAAAGCGGAGATATGAGCAACCCAGAGTAAAACCACTTTTACCTTCCCACCTCCTGGATCAGAAAGTAATCTATCTGTATGCCAAAAGCACTCAGAGGCTTAACTGAGGGTTTAAGAAAGTTTTATTCTTAGTAAGGATTACATCAGGTTTTGGGATATAATTTCTTGGACAGTTCTTCTCAAGTTACAGAAAGAAATTACCATACATTGCAAAAGCACCTTGGAACAACCAGCTAGAGAAACATAACAAAATCCAGTCCCCGTGAGAATTGGATTTTGAAACAAGGATAAGAATCACAGATTTGAAAGAGACCATGTGGGCCATCTAGTTAAACCATGCAGGAAAAGCACAATCAAAGCACCCCCAACAGATGGCCATCCAGTCTGTTTAAGAGCTTCCAAAGAAGCAGCTTCTACCACACTCTGAGGCAGAGAGTTCCACAGCTAAACAGCCCTTACAGTCAGGAAGTTCTTAATGTTCAGGTGAAATCTCCTTTCCTGTGATTTGAACCCATTTTCTGTCAAGTCAGAAAATCCCACAGTATCTGCTTTGAATTGGGTTATCTGAGTCCACACAGTTGTATATCCTAGTTCAAAGCAGAACATGGGGGATTTTCTGCCTTGGTATTCTGGGATATGGGGCTGTGTGGAAGGGCCCAGAAGCCTGAGGCCTTTTCCCAAAACACACAGAACCACATCTCCATTGCCATGGCAACTATAGTTCAGTACGGCACTAGAGCTTTCTGGCCTTTGATTTTAAGTAGTTTTTCCTAAACTAGAAATCCCCTCGATGGCATGGATAGAATCATGGCCCTTAAAGTGGAATCAATGTGGTATAACTGCCATGTGAAACAGCTACAGGATCCCAGAGGATATTGCTATGCCAGTTAATCATACTTCTATAACTTTGGTTGTGTGAAAATGGGGGAAATGATACACAACCCATCCGTTCTCTTTTGCTAGAACCAGAACTGCTGCTACATTAAGGGAGGCCAGAAAAACACACCTTTTTCTTGATTTTTTTTAAACTTCTTGTTTTTTTAAATTTTCTTTCTAGTTTTTTTTATTTATTTGTCGTGTCAGAGCAACCAGTCCATTATATTACATTTCTAACAGAACAAAGCAAACAAACAGACAAAATACAAATTTTGTGAGTTTGGTAGTTGATTAAATGTCCTTTGACCAGTATCTGGCCACTTGGAGTGCTTCTGGTGTTGCTGCAAGAAGGTCCTCCATTGTGCATGTGGCAGGGCTCAGGTTGCATTGCAGCAGGTGGTCAGTGGTTTGCTCTTCTCCACACTCGCATGTCGAGGATTCCACTTTGTGGCCCCATTTCTGAAGGTTGGCTCTGCATCTCGTGGTGCCAGAGCGCAGTCTGTTCAGCGCTTCCAAGTCGCCCAGTCCTCTGTGTGCCCAGGGGGGAGTCTCTCATTTGATATCAGCCATTGGTTGAGGTTCTGGGTTTGAGCCCGCCACTTTTGGACTCTCGCTTGCTGAGGTGTTCCAGCGAGTGTCTCTGTAGATCTTAGAAAACTATTTCTAGATTTAAGTCGTTGACATGCTGGCTGATATCCAAAGAGGGGATGAGCTGGAGATGTCTCTGCCTTGGTCCTTTCACTATTGGCTGCTACTTCCCGGCGGAAGTAGCAGCCAATTCTTTCTAGTTAGCAATATTTTTTTCATCTGCTGAAAGAAAACCCCTCATAGTAGTCTCAGGGCCCTTCCACACAGCCCTATATCCCAGAATATAAAGGCAGAAAATCCCACAATATCTGCTTTGAACTAGGTTATCTGAGTCCACACTGATATTGTGGGATCTTCTGCCTTGATATTCTGGGATATAGGGCTGTGTTGTAGTTATGCTGAACGTTGTAACCACCAACAGTCACTTTCCTGAGCTCTGCATGGTTTAGCAAACCCATTCATTCATGTATTGTCGAAGGCTTTCATGGCCAGAATCACTGGGTTATTGTAGGTTTTTTCGGGCTATATGGCCATGTTCTAGAGGCATTCTCTCCTGACGTTTCGCCTGCATCTATGGCAAGCATCCTCAGAGGTAGTGAGGTCTGTGGGAACTAGGAAAAAGGGTTTATATATCTGTGGAATGACCAGGGTGGGACAAAGGACTTCACACCTAGCTCCAGCAGACAAGAGTCCTTTGTCCCACCCTGGTCATTCCACAGATATATAAACCCTTTTTCCTAGTTCCAACAGACCTCACTACCTCTGAGGATGCTTGGCATAGATGCAGGCGAAACGTCAGGAGAGAATGCCTCTAGAACATGGCCATATAGCCCGAAAAAACCTACAACAACCCAGTGTCTAGGGAGCTAGGTGTGAATGTTTCAACTGACCACCTTGAATAGCATTTGATGGCCTGGCAGTGCCTGGAGCAATCTTTTGTTGAGAGGTGATTAGATGTCCCAGATTGTTTCCTCTCTGTTGTTTTGCTGTTGCAGTTTTAGAGGTTTTTAGTACTGGTTCATTGCAGCGTAGATGCAGCCTTAAAGGTGCCCCAAGGTCCCTTTGTGCAGCGGCTGTGCCTTTGCATCTATCTGAAGGGAGCAAAGTGGCCTTCCTCCCAGAGACCCTACGCCTGCCGTCCCTTGCAGAGGCATCAGAGGCGCCCTGCCCTCTCTCTCTCTCCCTTCCTTCCTTCCTTGCTTCCTGCCTTCCTTCCTTCCGGGTGGCGCTCCCTCCCTTCCACCCCTTTCCCGTCTGACCCAGGGAGTGAGCGGGCGAGCGCGAGCGCCTGTGGCTGGCTTTGTCCCTCGCCGCTCTCCGTACTCCGAGGCTCCCGGCTCCGCTCTCTGTCGGAGCGCCTCTTTCCAAGATGGCGGCGGCGGGGCTGGCTCTGCGCGGCCGCGGCTCTGCAGCCGGAGCGTGAGGGAAAGAGGCGGCCGGACCGCGGCCTTCCTCCCTCCCTCTCCTTCCCGCCGGGCCGGGCTGCAGAGGGGCTTCCGGGGGCGCCATGCCAGCCTGCCTGCACGCATGAGAGACTCCGCCGCCGCCGCCGCCGCCATGGAGGAGCCCGAGCCCAAGCGCGGCTCCGACTCGGCCACCACCAGCAGCAGGTCAGGAAGGCCCCCGAGGAAGGGAAATCTCTGTCCCCAGCGCCCATTTTGAGGAATGGGAGCATCCCTTGGCTTCGCAGTGGGCTGCCGGCTGTCTGCCTTGTTGCTTCTGCAAGGGGCTTTGCTCCAGATGCTGCTTTGGGTGGGGAAATAGGACGGATGGACGGCTATTTGAGGTTGCCTCTTTGGGTGCTTCTACACCAGGCATGGGCAAACTTGGGCCCTCCCTCCAGGCGTTTTGGATTTCAACTCCCACCATTCCTCACAGCCTCAGGCCCTTTCCTTTTCCCCCTCAGCCGCTTAAGCCTGGAGGGAGGGCCCAAGTTTGCCCATGCCTTTTCTACACTGTAGAGTTGATGCACTTTGGTACTGCTTTCACTTCCATGGCTCAGTGCAACTGAATCCTGGGAGCTGTAGTTCAATGAGGCACCAGCGCTCTTGGGCTGATTAAACTACAGCTCCCCCAATTCCCTAGCATTGACCCTTGGCAGTGCAAGTGGGATCAGACTGTCATTAATTCTACAGTGTGGATGCAGCCTGAGAGAAAGAAGTCAGTTGCAGAAGTGCTCATGTGGTGCATCTCAACCTGTGGGTCCCCAGATGTTTTGGTCTTCAACTCCCAGAAATCCTAACAGCTGGTAAACTGGCTGGGGTTTCTGGGAGTTGTAGGCCAAAACATCTGGGGACCCACAGGTTGAGAACCACTGGTCTACAGTTACTACATAATGCAGTTTCAAGCTCCATTATATGGCAGTGTAAATCCAGTCCAACTTAGAAATCTTTAGCTTTTCAGATGCATTAGAATTCTGGTTTGGGAGGTCCCTGCAGCACAGTTAATGGTGAAGGAGAAAATAAGAACAGATTATGGAACAATTGGTCATGGTTGCTGTGCATAGCAGATGCTTTGTATTGGTAGTGGGTTAGACTAGACTCACAAGTTGAGAACCACTGGTAGAATTAATACACTTTGACAACACTTTTAACTGCCATGGCTCAGTGCTAGGGAATCAAAGGAGTTATAATTTTGCAAGCTTTTTAGTCGTATCTGCCAAAGAGAGCAGGTGTCTCACTAAACTACAAATCCCACGTTTCAATAGCATTGAGCCATGGCGGTTAAAGTATCAAACCACAATTATTCTGCAGTGTAGATGCATCCCAGGTCTGTAGGACCCAAGTTTCCCACCCCAATTAAAAGAGAATTCCCTACTCGTCCTTGTTTGTGCTTTTAAAAGAAATGTGAGCCTTTGGTGTTTTGCGCTGCAAGGGAGCATCACAGAACCATTGGGTTCTAGCCTTAAGTGAAGGGACAACTGCTGCCAAAATTAAAACACCACACAATGTCCAGTATTATTAATACAGATTGAATTTCCCCCATCTGAAATGCTTGGGGCTCAGAGTGTTTAGCATTTGCATGGAAGTGCATGATGGGATCTTTTGGCAATGGCCCCCAGGTCTAACAATAACATTTATATTTCTGATATATCTCATATACATAGCCTCAACACACAATATTTTAAACAGTTTTGTGCATGAAACGAAGTTTGTGTATGCTGAACCATCAGAAAGCAAAGGGATCGCTGTTTTAGCCTTCCATGTGGATGATTTTGGGTTTTAGAGTGTTTTGAATGTTGGAATTCCAAATAAGGGATGCTAAACTTGTGCTTTCCTGCCCTCGATGACGCCTTCCAATCTTTCTTTCACAGCTGAGGTCGATAATGGAATATACCTGCAGCAATCTGGTTCTGTGCATGTTTATGCAGGAGTTCAGTCATGCACACACTGAAGTAAATGTACAGAATTGTAGCCAGTATTTCTGTCTTTTGGCATGATAGTCCCTGCAGTTTAGTATCTGCTGCAGCTTCAGCCTGTCTACAGAAGGAAGTTGTGAGGACAATATTTGTACAGTGGCTGTTGCCGGTGTTGATGCAATAGTGAGCACATAGTAGTAATTTGATTGGGGTGTGTGTGCACGCGTGTGCCCTTAAGTTACCTGTTGACTTCAGGCAGCTCTATGAATTTCATAGGGTCTTCTTAGGCAAGGAACACTCAGAGGTGGTTTTGCCAGTTCCTCCCTCTGAAATATAGCCTGCAGCACCTGGTAGTTTCATTTAAAATAAAAAAAGCCTTTGTTTAAGTATATGATCATGCAGCATAGAGTGCACAAAGTCCTTGGACTAAATTCTGCAATTCCAAATTGTTTTTGAGTATGTCTTCTTGATTTGCCTCCCATTGTTACATCAGAGTACTGCATAGAGAGCAACCAGCATTTGTAATTTTAAATGATAAATATGTTGTATGCTTTCACATAAAATCATAACGTCTTTGTGGTTATTTTCATTTTGAAGCTCTGCTCTTTGCAGTAATTCAAAAGATAAGATACCATTTTGGTAGTTACTTTTCTTCTGAGGTTCTGCTCTTTTCAGTAATTCATCAGATGAACTATATCATTTTACAAAATCTATATGAAAGTTGATAACATTCAGATTCACACTTCATACTGCTTCCTAAAGGTGCAGGTGTGAACTCATGCAGATTATCTTACTAATATTTATTGTAGTCAGCTGAGACATTCAGTTTAATTTATCAAATGATTCTGTTTATTGAAGAGAATTCTAGTGATGAGTAGTATATCACAATGCAATCTTGAGCATACATGAAAAGTTTATTTCAAGTGCTAGACTTCCCCTATTAGTTCCAAATGGGAAGATAAAAATGCAGAACGCAATGCTTTGTTTCATCTTCCTTAAATACAGAGATATTTTAATTAATATTGGTGTGTATATTCAGAATGCAGGTCTACTTTTCACTTTCAAACCTTAGTTATACAGGTTTTGAAATGAGGTGAGGTTAGCACATGCAGACTAGAATTTAACCAGAAGTAGGAAGGTTAACTTTGAAAATTTATGTGATAATACTAAATATTAGGAATTGCGCCATTAATTAATTGCACCAACATTAGTCATTGAAATCATTTTATTTAATTAAGTAACATTGGTTAATTCATTGCTGAGCCATTCGTTTTCAGAACAGTCTGTGGGATTTCTTTAGAATTACAAGAAGGTTATTACTTTTCCCCTTTGAGAACATATTTTGTTATTGGCTTTTTCAAAAGCATGTCATCATTTTTAAATTGCTTTACAACAATCTGGCTCTTTTGTTTAGATGTGCTACAAAGCACCAGTTGTTGTGTGCTTATGACTGAAGATTAACATGACTGGAAATTTCAATTATCCCATAGATGCTTAAGCTTAGAACATTTATTTTTTAAACAGGACCCCCAAAATCTGGGTTAACTTAATCACACATTAGTGTGAATACTGTACCATCACTTCTATTAAAATGTGACGATTTCTTTTCTGAATAGAGTAACAAAAGGAAAAAACTTACTTAGTTCTTCCCTTTTTTAAATGTGAATTTTTATTGAATGCTTTTCTGGTTCTACAGATGAAATATAGGTGATGGGAAGGGGAAGGAATGGGGACTTATCTACATGGGGGGGGGGTACATACATGAGGGAAAGTGAGGTTGTAGGAAGGGGAGGGGACATCTTAACTTAGTTCTTCCCTTAAAAAAAACTAAAACAAGCACTGGTCCGCTCTACTCTCTTCACCATGGAGCCACTTCTGGCCCTTTTTGAATGTCTGGGCAGCTGGCTCCCCGAGTTGGTATTGATGCTTTCCACGTTCCATGGAGTGACCCATGATTTATCCAATGGTCTTATCAAAATCCATAATTTTTGCTCTGAAACTTTGCCCTCGACTTATACATGGGGTCAACTTATAACATGAGTACTCACTTCCCCCTCAGTTTCAAGCTTTTTAATCTCTTGCCCATTTTATGTTATTCCTTCTTACTGTTGTTGCATAACTTGAAGGTATTTCTGACTTATGTCAACCCTAAAGCAAACCTGTTATTGGGTTTTATCTGCAAGATTTGTTCAGAGAGTATTTGCTTTTGCTGTCCTGAGGCTGAGAGACTGTGACATGCACAAACCCCTGTCTCCAGAGTCATAGTCCAACACTCAAGCTATTACAACATCCTGGATCCCGTTCCTATGTAGCCAATTTGTTTCTTATCTGTATCACTGATCTTACTTCCCATCCACAGCATACAGTTCCCAGGAAATCAAACATGACTGAATTGTGCTTTCCCTTTGTGCTTTCCCTGCTGCTGCATCTCGCCAAATCTTCCATTTCCTTTTCCTTCCACTACCAATTCTCTCACGTTCTTCCCTACATCCCAGGACTTCTTCCGAATCCTCAAAGAATTATCAATCCTACAGCTTGTTTGAGGTTTTAATTCAGGCCAAACTAAAAAACCTAAATTTCACCAAGGCACATACAGATTTTCACTCAGGCTATCTTTTTTTAAGCACTTGGTAATGGGAACTCTCACAGTCATTCCAAGATGAATCTTATAGACCAGTTTCTCTCTCCAGCTATTGAATGGGACCTTTATTGACTGCATACAGTGCTAGAGTTTTAAAAGGAGACATTCCTGAATGTGTGCTTGTGAGAAGTAAATGAATCAACAGGATGTTATCTAAGCAAGAAAAATAATTGCTTGGGAATTACAAAGAGTTATGTAGCAGTTTGATAGCTAGAAACCTGGAGACATTATATTCATGAAGCTATTTTCATTCTCATATCTAAATATCAATTCCCACTAATATGTAGTTATGCAATGCAATGATCATATGATGTTTGCAATTATATGTGGACTCCACCAAAAAGAGGGCAGTCATTTCACACAAAAAACCCACATATTCCAGTGCTACTGAAGCTTTGATTTCCCTCATTCCCATCCTGCTTTCCATCCAGCCCTCACTTCAGTTAGTCATAGATTTTGAGTGGCTTGTTAAGACTGGAACTATTAGCTTGGAGACAAAATATTCTGCTGCCTATATTCATGTGTGTGATTGGTGTCCTCTAGCTGAAATAAACACAGCATTCTTTAAAACCTTCAACATCACTCCTCATTAACTTGCATTAAGCAATGTA